GGGGGGATTATAATATGTTAGGTAAACAAATAAACGGTATGGCTGAAGGGACTTCTTTCACTGACGCTGTAAGAAAAAGTCAACTTGCTACTAAATTATCACTTTCTGGTGGATTAACGACCGGCAATTTGGATATGAATGGCAAAAGGATATACAATGTAGCACAACCAAATGGTGATAATCAACCAGCGACAAAAATATGGTCAGAAAATAAATTCCTGGATAAGTCCAGTGGAGTAATGGCTGGACCACTAAACATGTCCAATAATAAAATCACTAATCTTGCCAAACCAACTGATGATAAAGATGGGGTTAACAAAAAATACATAGATGATAATTATTTGAAACTGTCCGGTGGCACTATGACTGGTCATATAATATTAAACAATGCTGTTGTTACTTCACAATATCAAGCAATAAGCCGAAGCACTGGAAATGCATTTTTTGTACAAATTACTAATCCATATGTTTACCACCAATTTAATATGGTCAAAAACAAGATTATTAATCTTGGAGACACAACGGATGCTACTGATGCTATTAATCTGAGAACATTGAATAAACATTTTATAAAGCCATCTGATCATACTAACAGATTTGCATATCTCATGGACCCTACAAATGGTCTTTTACAATGGACTGATTTACTAACTGACAGTATTGCCCTAAACAGCATTGGTGATTTGAATGCAACATCAGGCAACTACCACACATACAATAAAAAGGTGATTTTCACATCCATTAAGAAGAATTCAGAGGGTGGTTATAAATGGCGATTAGCTATCCAATGCTATCGCCTTCAAAAGGATAAAGAATATACCCTTTGTTTGGAAATCCTTACTACTGACTATAAATTATGGCACAAATCTGTAATTACTGTTGATACAACTACCAGCCAGGGAGTGACTGTAAAAAATTGGCATGTCAATAAATACTCACATGAGTATAGAACATCTTCCAGTCAGGTTAAATATATGTACTATCATAAACTCTTGGTGACAGTCAATAAGACAGCTGACTCCACCCCTTATTTCTTAAATATCCAGGATGTTATCGCTCAGTCGGGAATTGACTTGAACATATATCCAACTAATTTCAATAAATATTACCTAATAGCTTACGGTATTCTTGGCGAAACAATGGATTTAGATCCAAACAAAACTTTTGATTACCATACAGCTTTTGATATTAAGCCGCCTGAAGTTGTTTACAATGTTGATCTGGATATGAACAGAAAGAAAATATTAAATATTACGCTGGATAAAACTAAGAATAATTCGGCGGCAACTGTAAAGATGGTCAAAGATTTGGAGACAAAATTGAGCCCTCATACAACAAATAATGTGTACAGGGAAATATTTGAGGAATTTTATGATTTAAGCAATGCTGGTATCTATAAAATAGCAACAAGACCATCAGGTGTCGTATTTATAGGTTTACTTCCTAACATATATTTTGCGAATATGTTTATTGCTAATATTGAGGAAGGAGGATTAAGGATACAAAACAAACCAATAAGTTTAAGATTATTCGTTAAAAAGAGCTTTACTCTTTGTGTTGTCATGCGACTATGGCTGAACAGAAACATGTACATTAAAACGTTCATGAGAGATGGAGCTGATGAAAAACCACACTTGACTTATGACAAAACAACAAAGAAATTAAAACTGCAAACTAATGGTTTGACTGAGTCAACCAACCAATGGTAAATGTGTTGTGTTTTGGCTGACTAAAAAAGGGACAGGGGGCACCTTTACTGTAAAAGCTTCAGTTAGTAATTATTCTGGAACATCAACATTAAGTTCAGAATAAGAATTTCAAAGTAACTACACATTTAGAATATCCTCAGAAGATACAACAATCTATAGAATTATGCATTCTCCAAACTTTTACGACCTGGATTCTCACGAATTTCATCAAATAATAATGCAGGAGAAATTGAGTGGTTCTTATGTTCTGTAATTTGTCTCAACTAATAATATAAATGAGTATATTCAATTTCAACCACATTGATAAAAACAAAACAAAAGAAGAAATACAAGAAATCAAAGAGCTGTATAAATTCTATCATTATAGATATTGGTGTTATCAAAAAGCTTATACTCACTACAAAAAAGTCAATCTGGCTTCTAATATTTTATCGGCGGGTTTAGTCATTATTGGTAGCGTAGCTGGTGGCATCACAGCCAACCCCATTATTATAGGTTCTGTAACAGGCACCGGTGTATTACTCAAAACATTTTGTGAAACTAAGAACTACAAACGTAAAATAGAAATGAGTAAATATGCATCTACAACATATCAGAAAATATTAGCCGATCTCAAAACTTCGCTTCGAGGTGGGCCCTTTCATAAACAGGACGTTTTAAAAGAGGTTAATATTCTTGACGATACAATTATAGATTTCTGTCCATTAGTAACAAAATTTGAAAAACATTATGGGGAAAAGTTCCTCTCCCGTCCAACAGATCAATAATTCCTCCTTAAAATTATTCTATTGACGTCATCCTTAATGTGACCATAAACTTTGTCCCACCATTCATTGTAATATTTTAGTGTATTTTTTATTTGTGTATGAGGAATGGACTTGTATTGTATTTCCGCTGCCGGCTGTTGGTCCTAGCTTTTCATACTTACCTGACGCTTGGCCTCGCGACGCAGGAATTCTACCCCTGTGGGACGAGTTTTCGTTTGGGAACTGGCTTTTTGGTGAGTGTCGCTGCATCATCTGAAGCGTGTACTGGCTTTCGTGGCCAAGTTCGTCTCTGGTGCTGTGGTTGTCTCTACCGTGGTCTTGGTCGGTAGTTTATTTGGTCGGTTCAAGCCTCGATTTTTTGTAAGTTTTTACTCTTACTGTTTTTGGCGGGTCGCCCGTCCCTTTTTTGGGCCCTGCCCGTCATCATTGTCTTCAGCTAATTATTTTAATGTATTTTGCCATGTAACTTTAAAAAGTCATATCTCTGGTGTTATTTACAGTTCAATATCAAGCTATACCTCATTCGAAAGGGAAAAGAATACCCTTGTGAAAAAAAAATATTCCGGTCAGAGGAAACCCATAATATTCCGCCACAAAAAAATTAAAAAAGCATATTTTGCATAAAAATTTTTTAAAATTTTAAAGAATGTCATTTAGCTAGGAAACTTCTTTATTTTGGGTGATATGGTAGTAAGAAATTTTTTTCATCAATATGTAAGCAAAAAAAACCGAAAATCGTTCTAAAATATGGAGCGACTAGAAATTTTCTACAAATTTTTTTCTGCACGCTGCCATGATTATGCTAATTAGATTATCATAATTAGCATAATCCTTTGGCGTCACCTCGTGACCCCATGTTTACTTCACTGAGACACTTTGTTTCCTCGATTCTCAAAAAAATATCGAGTTAGAGACAAGCAGACATGAATTTGCTGATAGAATTCATCAAAATAAGCAAGAATTTGACAGCGAAAAGCGAAGCGAAGGCAAAACGGGAAGGAAATCGTCGCCGTTTCAAGAACATGTGGCACAGAGTCGGCGATAGGCGATTTGCATGCACAGATTCTAATTGTTTCCTAGCCTTGATTTTCGCATTTATTTTGCTTATCCTCCAAAATTCTTCAGAATAGTTTGCTTGACTTGTATTTGGTTGACATTCGTCGATACAACCTTTCATTATTCCCAAAACCAGCTCACAAAAATTCCCCGCGACTCGCCATAAAATTCAACATTTTCGAAAGCTCGGTGTGTGACAGTCAAAAGTCCACAGGGGCTGGAACTAGGCAGGTGATTGGCTAAATCTATTAACTTCCTGTGTGCCAAATTTGGAAGCAATCGGAAGTAACAGTTTTTTGCGAAATTTCTTTAGTCACCTTTCCTCAACTTCAGATTTTTGGCGACTCTGAAGACAATGTTTCTTTGGGGTTTTCTCTTACCTTCTTTTTCCGTCATGCCGCATCCTTCTATGCAGAGGACGGTTACTCTTCATGTTGGGCGAGTCCCTGAGGTTGTCTCTCGCCCCTAGTTGGTTCACATGCTCAAAGAGCGGTTCGGTTCATGGAAACTGCTGGCAGTTCAGTTCTTGCTGGGCCTCAAAGCCCAGCTTACCTTTGATTCCGAAGAGGCTCGTGTGATGATTGAGAGAAACACTGAAATCGATACTGGGGGCTACCCATGCCGTGTGGTTGGGGGGGCGGAGGGGGAAAATGTCTTCGTCTTCCACCTCCCCTATGAATTGGATAATGAGGCCGTCAAAGTGGCCTTACAGCGGTTTGGTCCGGTGCACTCTGTGCGTCACCAGCATCACCCGGACACTTCTATTTATACCAGGATGCGTATTGCCCACATGATTCACGGGGCGTCTATTCCTAGGCACGTTTATGTTGACAGCTGGTCAGCTAAAGTTTGGTACTGAGGGCAGCCAGTTGAATGCGATATTTGTGGGCAGGCCCACGTTTCGCGTGTGTGCCCATTGCGTGGGAAATGTCGGTTTTGCAAAGAGGAGGGGCATTTTGCTCGAAATTGCCCCAATCGTAATCGTAGTGATTGGGGGGAGGCCTCCACTGATGGTGCTGCCCCTGCGAATGCTGAGGAGGGTCCCGCTACTCCGGCTGACTCTGCCCCTTCTAGTGCTGGTATTGATTTGAGGGACAACCAGCTTGACGAGCTGTCTGGGTCGGTTGCTCCCGGCTCGGCTTCTTCGTCTGACTCTTTGGAAGGAGCTACGGTGGTGTCTCGGGTGGACTCTTTGGATGGTGCTACGGTGGTCTCCCAAGAGCAGGCCCCTGTTAACCAGAGTATACTGGCAGAATTGAATGTACCAAACTCTAATTCTTGTGATGCTCCAAATTCTAATGATTGTATTGATTTAAGTAGTAGTATTGATTTATTTAATGAATGTAATGAAAGTAGTATTGTTACTTTAAATAATAATGAAACTAGTACTGCAAATAATAATGTTAATAATGAAAGTGGAATACATAGTAATGATAGTAGTGGTAATAATGGAAATAGTGAAAGTATTATGCATAGTAATGATAGTAGTGGAAATAATGGAAATAGTGAAAGTATTAATGTTACTTTACCTAATAATAATAGAATGGAAGTACTTGATTACTCTAGTGATAGTGACTCTGATGGTTCTGATGATCCTGAAATCCGCAGCGATGCATCCATCGCTTCCTTGGATGTTGATGGGTCTTCTCTTGACTCGGTCTACTCGGTTTATAGTGAGGGTTTTGCTGTTCCGCTGCCTAAGTGGGCTCCCCATCCTTCCAGGAAGCCCGCCGTTGTGATTTCGCCTGGTAGGTCACGCTCTGTGTCACCTGCCAATGGCGGTAGGAGCAGGTCTCCGCTTTCTTCTGGCAAGCACCCCTTGCCTCCTGTCGTGGGCTCCAGGCCTAAGTCTAGGAAGTCCTAGGCTGCTCGCCTCTCCCTTCTTCCCATTAAAGTTTAACGTTATTTCGATCAACGCGAACCGCCTGCGTATGGCTGATAAGCGTGCTGGTTTCTTGCAGTGGTTGCATTCTCTACCTGTTGTCGTTGATGTTGTCTGTATCCAGGAATATCACTGTGTTTCTCTGGCTGAATGTGATTTGTGGTTTCGTTCTTCTGGTTTTCCAAGTGTTGTTTCTCCTGGCTCCAAGAAATCTTGTGGTTGTGTTGTCCTCTTTCGTCCCACTCTGTCTTTGGTCCAATCTTGGGCAGATGAGGAAGGGCGTCTGTTGCAATGCGAGTTTTCCTTTTGTGACCAGTCCTTTTGTGTTATTTTGTTGTATGCTCCCAACCGCAACCCTGTAAGGAACCAGTTCCTTGAGCAACTGGCTGATGAGGTTGATCCCTCCATTCCTACACTTCTTTGCGGTGACTTTAACACGGTCTTTGACCGCAATCTTGATTGTTCTGGCTCTGACTCTTCTGACACCTGGAGAGAGAGCTCCGCCGCACTTGCGACTCTCTTTGAGTCTTGTTGCTGCATTGATGCCTGGAGGTATCTCCATCCTACCTCTGCTGGTTTCTCTTGGACCAGGCCAGACGGCTCCATATCTTCTCTTATTGGCTTAATTCGTTGTCCTTATATCTGGGTGTCGTCTATGTCCTCTTGTGATTTCGTTTCCTGTCCTTATTCTGATCATTGTGCTGTGTTGTTTTCTGTTTTTGTCCCTGGCATTGTGCCGCCTGTTCCTGGTCTTTGGAAGTTGAACGCTTCTATCCTCAATGAGGACGATTATGTCCAGCTTATCACTTCTTACTGGGGTGTCTGGCGTACCAAAATGTTGACTTTTTCCAGCCTTGCCAAGTGGTGGGAGGCTGGTAAGCGGGAAATTCAGCATATCACTCGGGATTTTTGTGTCTGTCGGGCTAGTGAGACTCGGGCCTCTCGAAATCTCTTGTGCCGTCTCGCTGACCACCTGAAATTGTGGTTTGACAAGGGTCTCATCTCAGCCTACGTGCCTTACCGCTCAGTTCTTATTAATCGTCTAGCTGAGTTGGATCTTGCTCAGGCCAGGGGTGCTCAGGTTCGCTCTCGGATCTGGTGGGTGGAGGAGGGCGAGACTTCCTCCTACTTCTGTCGTCTCGAGAAGAAGCGCTCTGCTGACAGATGGATTTCTACTGTCCGCAACCCTAGTGGTCATATTGTGTCTGACCCACAAGGCCTTTGTGATTCTTTTTCCTCCTTTTATTCTGGTCTATTCTCTGCCTCTCCTGTTGATCCTTCTGGTCAACAGTCTTTACTTGCTAACCTGTCTTCTGTTCTTTCTCCTCACCAGGCTGAGAAATGCAAGGGTTATTTGAATGTGGGAGAGTGTTATGAGGCTCTCGTGGGTATGGAAAAAACAAGGCTCCTGGGTCTGATGGTCTGCCCATGGAGTTCTACGTTAAGTTTTGGGATGTACTCGGTCCTGATCTGGTTACTGTGCTTAATTCTTGTTTTGACGCGGGTCTTCTCTCTTCCTCGCAACGTCGAGGGGTTATCTCTCTGCCTTTTAAGAAGGGTGATCGGCTCGACCCTCGCAATTGGCGTCCGATCTCACTTCTTAATGTTGATTACAAGCTGGCTGCTAGGGTTCTTGCTGGGCGTCTTCTTAAGGTCATCCATCTAGCTGTTGCGGACGACCAGGGGGGAGATACATTGGTGAAAACGTTGCTTTTTTGAGGGATGTTGTCCACTATGCCTCTTTCTCTGGGCAGCCTGTACCTATCCTTTCCCTTGATCAGGAAAAGGCCTTCGATAGAGTGGATTGGGGATTCATGCGCTCTACTTTACTGTCTATGGGCTTCAGTCGTTCTTTCATTAAATGGGTGGACTTGTTCTATACTAAAGTGTCTAGTGCTGTGTCTGTTAATGGTTATCTGTCTTCTTTTTTCTCACTGTTGAGAGGAGTACGCCAAGGCTGCCCTCTGTCCCTGCTTCTATATGTTCTTGTATCTGCAGCGCTGGCCGTCAACATCAGGGCCAATCCACGTATCGAAGGCCTGACCCTCCCTGGGTCCTCATCTCCTCTCTCGCCCATCTTGCAATATGCGGATGACACGTCGCTTGTTGTAGTCTTGGATGCTTCTATTCGCACCATCTTTGAAGTATATGCTGTTTATGAGAAAGGCTCGGGAGCCAAGTCTCTGGTTGGGTGGCTGGGCTGGTGGGTTGGATCCTCCAGTCTCACTTGATTGGTCCTCAGTTAAGATCAAGACGCTGGGTGTTTTTGTCGGTCCTGGTGACCTCAAAGAGGACAATTGGCAGCCCCGGATTGACGCTGTGGAAAAGGTTCTTTCTTCTTGGAGGCAGCGGTCCCTGTCCTTTAAAGGAAAGGCCTTGGTTATTAATGCGCTTGCTTTGTCCCGGGTCTGGTATGTGGCTTCGTTAATTCACATGCCTGATTGGGTTGTTTCAAAACTAGTTTGGCTGACCTTTCACTTTTTTGGGGGTGGGAAGCGTGATCTTGTCCGTAGATCTGTTGTTGTTCAACCCCCTGATCAGGGTGGTTTCTCGGTGGTGGATGTACAGCAGAAGGTTTCATCTCTTCTCGTTCAGTGGGTGAGACGATTTGTCTCATCCTATGCTAATTGGTCTCACTTTCTTACTTTCTGGTTCTTCTCTGTTTTCAACTGCTCTGTGCTTGATGTTTTATGCAAAAATTTTTCTTCCCCGGATTCATGGAAAAGGGACTCAAAAATATTTTTCTCTGCGCGTTTACGCTCGAGGCGAAAAAAAAAACGAGTAGGTTTCTCGCCCTCCTCGAACCATCGTGCTCGCGAGCGGATTTTCGCGCCCTCACACTCGTTGTTAATGACAGTTTCTAAGGTAGATTCAAGTTTGTTTACATTTGAAATCTGGTCGCAATCACCAAGGAAAACAGCCAATTTAGCCCTAAGTAAATGTTTAGTTAAAGAATTCCGTTCAGAAAGAAGTTGTTTGCGTTTTCGAGAGGAAAAGTCAATACAAGTACGGCGAATCTGAAGTTTCAAATTATCCCACCAATCACTCAGCGAACTAAACATAGGAATGTTAACCATACTCGGTATAAGAAGTCAAATTTTCTCTCCTTTCTCTCGCCTACGACCATACCACAGGGAGAACACCGTTTCCCGTCTGCTCCGTGGTCGTCTTTCGCTTATTGTGAACATAGAGTATTTATCACATCCCTATCTACCAGAATTTCTGGCTAACCTAACAGGGTACACGCTTTTCAAGTTTTAAAGAAGAATAACCCGGAGAATACTCTGACTTGTGCACCACAAGTTTTCGCCCTTACCAACAGGCCATCATGGCCGACCAGAAAGGCCGATTGCTCATCTTTAAAACTCCCGTTACTGTTTCACTGAAGGATATTAAGGACGCAATCACCGCTGAAGTTGGTCCCGAAAAGATTACTGTTATCCAGCACCTTAACACAGGAGAATATCTGGTTGAATTAATCGAAAACAAACTCGCCGAGGACCTCATCGAGAACGGCTTCGACTTAGAAGAACTACACGTGCAATGCAAAACCCCCCCCGTGACTACTATGTAAACGTCAGTGTTATGGGCCTTCGTGCCTACGTGGAAGACAAAGCGTTAATCAAAGCCCTTGTACCTTACGGAGATAATAAAGGAGAGGTGATTCGCTTGAAATACAAAGCGGATCACGACCTTGCTGGCCTGGAAAATGGGAACAGACTTGTCCGTATGATCCTCAACAAGCCCTCCATCCACTATTCCCTCAAGATTGGCGATGAGTGGTGCCGAATAATACACAACAACCAACAGCCGATATGCCGTGAGTGCACCCAACTCGGACATTCTCGCAGAAAATGTCCTACCGTAACCTGTAATTTGTGTGAACAAGTTGGCCATATGTCCATGGATTGCCCTCAATGATTCACCTTCCCCCCCCCGTCCTGAGTCAGAAGTTACTCCCGACGAGATACCTATCACCTCTACTGAAATGGAACACGATGTAAACCCTGTACAACCCCCACCGGACCAACAATTATCTACGGAAACTACGCCGCCGGCCATCGATGCCGCTATTACTTCTGAGACCTAGAATACGGCCTCAAACACCGACTTTCCTCCCCCAGCCCCCTGGACCCGAAGACACCCCTATGGATGAGTCTAAATCTCTAAAAAGGCCACATATGTCTGACTCGGACTCGGACTCTGACTCCGCTAAACAAAAACAACAACCGCGACGTCCTCGCCTTCACCCGAAGCCCAACATTCCTAACCCCCGTACTAAAGAAAATGCCACTTCTACTAAGACTTAATCAACAGGTTATACTCTACTGACGCCTCCCCCGGACTTCACCATGAATTATTTATGCTCTCTTCTCCTACTGCTAATTATGTGCAGCCTCTTCAGTCTTAATACCCAGAGCCTCAGGTCTCCTGACTGCCGAAAATCTGCTTTTAATTTTCTCAGAATCCACAAGTACGACATTATTTTTCTCCAAGAGACCCACTGGACTACTGATTTACAGGATGCTATTCAACGTGAATGGACAGGAGACATTTATTTTAACAACGGAACTGCCAACTCATGCGGTGTCGCAATCCTTTTTAATCCACGTTTCAATTACACACATACTAATACTTCTCAGGATTCTTCTGGCCGCGTTCTTGCCATTACAATCAAACTTGATGATCATTATCTACAGCTGGTTAATCTTTACACTCCAAACTCTGACACTGACCGCCTGAAATTTTTTTCTTCTTTGGAACCTTTTTTCTTATCCCGTTATCACAACGTTATCGGTGGAGACTTTAATTCTATCGTCAACCCCACGCTGGATAAACGAGGAAATCTTACATCCAGACAATACGCTCTCCGTCCTCTACACACACTCACTTCTCAATTTGATTTAGTTGATATCTGGCGACAACACAATCCAAATAAACGTGGATTCACTCTGACCCGTCGTGACCCACGACAAAATAATTCCTTTATCAGCACCCGTATTGACCGCTTTTATATATCACAACCTATCACCCCTTATATCTCCGACACTTCAATTATCGCTTATCCACACTCAGACCATGATCTGATCACGCTATCCCTTGACCTTGACCGCCAACCTCGAGGCCCCGGCTACTGGCATTTTAATAATACTTTACTTGATGACGCTATTTTCGGAACTGAAATCCAAGAATTCTGGACTCAATGGCGTACAGAAAAAACCCGCTTTCCCTACCCTCTAGAGTGGTGGGAGGCAGCTAAACAGCACTTTTAACGCATCGCTATTAAACGCTCAACAAAGTTACGGAGACTGGTACGTATGGAACGCAACAAATTAGAGCGTAATCTTCATTATCTTAAACAAAAGGCCACAACCGGAAATCCCCCTCATGCTAAAAAATATCTCCTCGCTAAACAACAACTCAGTGACCTTGAACGACGCGATTTAGATGCAGTCAAAGTCAGAGCAAAAGCCCGCTTTGCAGAAGAGGGGGAAAAAAGCACTAGATATTTTTACTCATTAGAAAAGAAAAAGCAAGCCGACAAGAGTATCCAGACACTCACAAAAGACAATCTTGACACTGCTACTTCAACTCGTAACATTTTAATTGAGACACGTGCTTTCTATAAAAAACTTTATACCGCAGAAGCAATTAATCCTGACATGCAGCTACCTTTCTTCAATATTTCTATTCCCCAGCTTTCCGCCTCTGACCAGCAATCATGTGAACTTCCTCTCTCAACCTCTGAACTTGAACATGCTCTGAAAAAAATGGAAAACAAAAAATCACCTGCCATTGATGGCTTGACTTCAAACTTTTATAAACACTTCTGGCCTATTCTCGGCCTCGACATCACGCAAGTCTTTAATTACTGCTTTCAACATGGCCTATTAACCCGTATTCAAAGACGAGGAATAATCACTTTAATTTTTAAAAAAGGAGATCGTACCAAACTTCAAAACTGGTGTCCCATTACTCTCCTTACTACCGACTAGTAAGATCCTTACCAAAGCACTCGCTACTCACCTCAGAAATGTACTACCGACTATCATTAATTCAGACCAGACCACCTGCATCCCTGGGAGAATAATTAACGACAACCAAAGCCTAATCCGCGATGTTATCACCTACGCCAATGAAACACACACGCCACTGGCCCTAATTTCCATTGATCAAATGAAAGCTTTCAACCGTAGATCAAAAAAATATATATATATATATATATATCAGCAGGACAAAAAGTAAGACACCTGTTGGCAAATAGCTTCGAGGTTTCAATTCTTAATCAGTTTCTCCGAACATAAAAGTCACAAATAACAACCAGCTTTACTAGTCGCTAGCTGGCGACCAGCTACGAAATTCTGGTCGCCAGGACTAAATTTTTAGTCGCATTGGCGACCAGGAAGGCGCAATTTCGGGATCAGTTTAGTTTTCTGGGCAACCGAGCTCGATACGAGTTTATCAAGCTCAATATGTCAACCGGCCCCGATTTGTCGATACCGAGCTCGAGGCCTCTTACTTTTCTGGGGGGACAAAGTAAAAATGGTTATCGAACTCGATGACTTATCGAGCTCCATGACTTATCGAGCTCGGTGACCTATCGAGCTCGGTGACTTATTGAGCTCGGTTTTTCAAGAGAAGAAAAAAAGAGAAAAAATGGAAATTAAAGCAATAATAACCACATGGAGTACAAAAACTAAAACACCTTCTCGTTCTCAACTCGTCACGGACAAAAAACATTGTGTGGCTGGTCGATTAATGTTGTTTTGGTATTTAAAAAATATTGACAAAATAACATTCTTTTTTACCCTTTCTTCTTTGAGATATATATGACGCGAGACTACCGTCCGTCAACGGCGCGTGAATTGAACGATTTAATTTTGAATCGTATTCATTTGAAAAAATTTTAAGAGCCTTGTTTTTCGCGCTTGAATTATTTGACTTCATGGGTACGCAATCAGTGATTCAATGCATCAAAGAAAATATACATTTTTTGTCTCGTTTTTATTTGTAATGAATTTTGCTTGATTTTATGCGAACAAACAAACTGCACCTTGCATGAGTCTAGGGGGCTTTCACCGGTTAATGTTGCAGAAAAAAAATATTTAGAATGACTATAAAGATGTTACTACGGAAGAAGGACTCGAAACAACAAACAACGATCTTACTTTTATTCCTTATTGTGAGATTAATTGTGTTGCGAACTCTACTCTTGCAGTGCAAAATGTTTGCCGGGGGGGAAGAGATTATCTCCTGCAGGAATTTTTTTTTTTTCACTCCAATTAGAAAAAACAGCATCCTGGATTTCACAGTGCTTTAATTCTTTGGTTCACAGAGCGGATATCTGCCTTTGTAGGTCGACTTATTCAGTCAATAGCGTAGAAAAAAAGACTTGTATCTACAAGATACGACAGACTTCTTAAAGTGCTACTACGATCAAATTTGGGAATTTGTTTTTGATTACATATTTCGAAAATATATGTAAAAGTGACTTACCGTGCCAAGTTTGGAGTCCAAATATGATCTGGAAGTGTGTTTATTTGCACGGCAATTTTCGTAAATGTGTTGCCGCCATTACTCGATTCAAAAAATGACCGGGAGTGGTATTTGAAGGAGTTGGGGCGAGATGTGACGTAGAAACATCAACCCGGCAAAACAAAGCACACAAACGTGGCTAATTTCGCATGCAGGGTGAGGGATTTTTGGAAGGTTTTTGAGGTTCTTTTTTGACGAAAGTATGCCTGGTCGCCGTTGTGTTGTTCAAGACTGTGGAAACATAAAGAACGATGAGTTGGGAATTTCGATTCATAATTCTCCTGCTTCGGGCAGCGTTATGTTAAAGTGGAAAAGTTTCGTGTCCATGCACCGGAAGAATTTCAACCCAGTGGGACAATTTTCTGTCTGCTCGGAGCATTTCACAAGGGATTGTTTTACCCTTGCATTTCCAATGAAAGGCATGAAAAGAAATTTGAAGAAAAGGACGTTTCCAACCATTTGGAAAAAATCTTCTGCAACACTATCAAAGCGGAGTCGACGATCGGTGAGTGGAATTACATATTTAATTTCCTCATTTACCTGTGACAAAATTTTTTCTGGCATCGTTTTTCATGATATTCGTGCAATGGATGCTATGACTATTTGGACTGTCCATATTCATACATGTGTTTTCATACTTTTCTGCTTTCTTCTCATAGTTAAAGTATAACGGGCATTTGCGCAATAATGGGTATTTCCACAGAGTTGACGTGAAGTCAATTTCCAGTGATCAATTTCCAGACATTAATTTCCACTCAAGCGTAAAATTTAGAAAAAGTGGAGCTACAAAGAAATTTGGCTCTCTATTTTTTGAGAGATTATTTTTCTGTTACTTTGACATTTGACAGTACTCCGAACTTCCCTCCCAAAAAATTTTACAACAACTTCAAGTATTACACGCGAGTCTTTTCTGTAAACGACCAAAAATGGACTTAGTCTGATTTATGCATTCTATAAGCTCAGTTACTGTTTGCTGTTTTTTCGTTTTCGTTTATATTTTATTTCTGTGTTCACTGTCTGTCAAATAGAAAATGCTGTTCAGTTTCACTGCTCGAATATGTATCAAACCGATCGGTTTTTTTCTTAATTTATTTTGTTGTCTTGGCAGCTTGTAAAGGAAATCTTGGAAGAACACGACCAAAATATACAAAATGAGACAAATTCTGAGGTGGAGGATGAAGACGTTGAGGTGGAAATAGAAGGTGATCAGGCGGACGATGAAGATGTTGAGGTGGAAGTTGCAGAAGGTGATCAGACGAACGATGAAGATGTTGAGGTGGAAGTTGCAGAAGGTGATCAGGCGAACGATGAAGATGTTGAGGTGGAAGTTGCAGAAGGTGATCAGGCGAACGATGAAGATGTTGAGGTGGAAGTTGCAGAAGGTGATCAGGCGAACGATGAAGATGTTGAGGTGGAAGTTGCAGAAGGTGATCAGGCGAACGATGAAGATGTTGAGGTGGAAGTTGCAGAAGGTGATCAGGCGAACGATGAAGATGTTGAGGTGGAAGTTGTAGAAGGTGATCAGGCGGACGATAAAGATGTTGAGGTGGAAGTTAAAGAGAATGTTGAGGCGGTGGTTCAAGAGGATGTTGAGCTGGAGATTGATCAAGTAGAGGTAGGTACAGTGTTATTAAAAAGAACACTTTTGGCGTGAGCTTTCAATTAGAAAATAATTGTGCAAGCTTATTTTTCTTGTCTTTTCTACTTTTTTTCTTTTTTAGACAAATGAACAATGTGCAACATGCAATACCCTCAAAAGTGAAATAAGTCAATTGAAAGGAAAAGTAACTAGGCTGAACAGAAAACTGACCACCAACCAAGATCATTGGGTGAAAACATTCAAACAAATTCATGGACAAAATAGGCTGCTGATGGTTGATACAGGTAAGACTGCTTACCTGTTACAATAATATTAGGTAGTGGTTTTGAAAACAAGTGACAACATTGTGGATTACCAATAACCATTTCAAGTCTTAAATAATGTTTCAAGCTTATAAAGTATATATAAATACTCAGGAAACTTTCTCTTCAACTGCACAGTAAGATTAACAACAATCATCATTGGATAGTTTTACCAACAATTTTTTTTAAGTTGAGGTAGTAGTAATTTCCTGTTATTATGATTCAGCTGTCCAAACTGACCCAGAAGTGGTTGCTGACAATGCCGAGTGTGAAGAGGAAACTGAGGAGGATATGGAGTTAAATGATGAAGATGAGGAAGAAAACAGCAACGATAATGAGGACCCCACATGGACCCCTGAGGAGATTGACAGGGAGTACCAAAAACTGAAAAACGAAGATGACAGTGAAAAGACTCATGACAACCCAAGGTTAACAAATAATACTGTTCTTTCACTTTGTTACACTGAGTGGTGCCCAGAACTATTATAAAAACTAATTTAAAGGCAAGATTTCAAATGGTCAACAACAATAAGTGTAATAATCCTTTCAACTAGTCTTCTTTATTTACTATCTTTTTTAGACTTGACCTAAAAGGCAAAAATGTACGGGAGGAGCCAAAGGGAATAGTCTTTCTCTCAAAATTGATGCTGCTGTTCCAGTTCTGTCACTTGTGCCTCTTCCCAAACCCTAAGGTGACTGTTACCCAGACTGGAACAATGCTGAGCATTGTAACTGAGTGCAGCAAGTGTGGTGAGACATACACCTGGAAAAGCCAACCTGATCTGATGGGGAGGTTTCCAGCTGGAAATCTGTTGCTGAGTTTTGCTGTTCTGTGTGCTGGAGCCTCTATCAGAAAGGTGCTCTTGGTGTTTGGGCACATGGGTGTGTTGGCTTTTCATGAGCCGACGTACTACTATCACCAGAGACATCTCCTCATACCATCTATTGTGGCATTCTGGAAAAAATATCAAAGCAGATTATTGGAACAGTTGAAAAACAAAGAGGTGGTATTGGCTGGAGATGGACGTCACGATAGTATGGGCCACTCAGCCAAATACGGCACTTACACAATGTTCTGTTGTACTATAGGACTCATCATCCATATAGTCCTTGTGCAAGTATGTATGTTACTTTGCCTTCCATTCGTTTGATCGACACTTATGGTCAATTCGATATTTGGACATCAAATTTTACCCCACTATGTGAATTGGATATTTTGTTGCTGTTTCAAAAAACTGCATTTTCATGTATTTGCCTTGGATAGTTTTATATAATTTTCTTCCTTAAACATTTAAAATTGGAGTTTTTAATCTTGACAATAAAGATTCTTTACTGTAGAATTTTGATTACTTTCTTGTCAATTTCATCTACCCAAGGTTAAAATGTCTATGATAACTGTGCAATGCCTTGCATGATCCTATGCTAAAAAATTCTACAATCAACCTGGGGATATTTTTAGTGTTTGATCTTGACCATTGTTTAGATGGCATGTTTTTTCTCCTTTAATACTTTCAGGCTAACCAGGCGGGTAACAGTTCAGGTATGGAGTTTCTGGCATTCCAAAAGGCTTTTACATTCCTTCTGGGGACTGGGATGATCATCAAATCATTTATATCAGACCGCCATACGTCAATCGCAAAATGGATGAGGGAAGACTGTGCTGCAAAGTGTAGTGAGCTGGGAAAACCAGTTGTGAAACATTTCTTCGACTTGTGGCATATTGCAAAAAGTAAGCATTATACTGAATCAATGACCACATGCCAGTAAACAGAAAAAAAAATGTATCTCTTATCATCCAATTGCTATGAACAGTTTGATTATTACTGGTTAATTTCTCTTGTAGTCTGTGGACTTACAATAAAAAAATTCTTTGTTTTAGAGTCTTAAGGGTGGACATTTTCTTTTCTAAATAAAGCAAATAACAAATCAGAAACTTGGTGAGAATACTCCTATGTATGTTTTAAGTCAAAATTAAATTCAGGTTAATATTTTTACCCAGGTTTATTCACATGTCCTTTGTCTCCTAGCCCAAATAATAATATTATTCATGAATTAGGGCTAGGAGACCAGGGAAACTGGGATTCAGCCTGGGTAATAAATTGTACCCTGAAAACAATTTTGACCAGTAATGTACGTATCTTTCAGAAATTCAGAAGGTGCTGACAAAACTCAGTAAGGAAAAGGGATGTGAAATTATTGGAAGATGGCGGAAAGCCTGTGTACGTCACTTTTACTGGGCAGTCACCTCAACTCAAGAGCATCTTGGAGAACTTAAACTGGCAAAATTCCAGGCATTTCTGTCTCATGTGATCAACAAACACAGAAATTTGCCCAATCGGCTATTCAATGCTTGTGCCCATGGTGAAATTGCTACCCCTCGTGTTTGGATGAGGAAAGGTACAAAAACATGTTGCAATGTACTTTTGTTATGTTATTCCAAAAACAAACCAATCAAAACCTGTTTTCGGTACTGGCACTGCAAGTAACTACTTTATTCATTTTATCTTATGTTTTAGCATCAGAGGCATATGAGAAGCTATGCACTGAACTAGGAAAGAAAAGCCTCATCAAGGCTATCAAACAGGCATCTTCTGTAGAGCAGACAAGTGCCCTTGAGGGTTATCATTCAGTAGTGAATCAGTTTGCCCCAAAGATGTTTGCTTTCTCTTATCTTGGATTACTTAGCAGGTACAAGTGCATAAATATTTGTTATATTGTCATGGTGTAACTGACTTATAATAATTATAAGTCAGTTACACCACATGAGATATCTGATCATACTGGACTTTACTCTCTTTCTCTCTCTTTTATTTTACAGAACAATACTAGCGGCACTGCATTTTAATTATAATCTGAATAGAGACAGCAAAACTGATGGTCAAGGGAGGCCTGTGCTTTATGTGACTTACCCTAAATTCAAGGAAGGAGAGGCTACAGTTAGGGAAGCTAAAGTCTCAGCAAATTATGGTAGTTATTGATCAGTCTCTACATGAATAAGTTCAATCAGACTCTCTCTATTAGGGAATTTGCATTATATGCTTGTTTGTTTTTTTGTTAGATTATGTTGCAGATATCTTTGAAACTCTAACGACTACCTCAAAGGCAGACCTGAAGTCAATGGCCGAAGAACTTAAGGATGAAGTTCCTGAACCTCTGCATACAATGTTGGCTGAAAAGGAGAGTAGGGAGGAGGCCATAGCTAAATACAGACAGAGAAAAGAGAAAGTGACAACAATTTGTCCTCCAACTTGTTCAGGTATGAGTTCAAAACATGAAAACTAACAAAATGGCAAGGGAAAAGAAAACATGACTCACTTCTACTGTATCTCTACATATACATGTAGGAACAGAACTGAGATTAAACAAATAAGTTTCTAATATTTCTGCATTGTCTTTGATTTGCTGTGACAGAGGAAGAACTTCATCCACCAAATGAGAGGGCAGTAACACGCAGAAGAGCTCCCCATTGTTCAAAATGCGGAAAACCACGACGAGGCCATAAAAGGGGACAATGTGAATGAATAGAGTCCTCTCAAGAACTGCAGTCTACATAAACCTCAATTGATAGAATATAAAGTTTTTTCCCCTAATTTTTTCCTTAATTTTCCTTTTGAGACAGTTGAAAAAGATTAAAATATATCATAAGTCAAAATTATAATATGAATTCAGGTTAACATTTTTAAACATAAGTTGGTTATTTTCCTGAATATTCATGAATAAAAAGATTTAATACGAGACAGGAGACAAAGGAATTTGAGAAACAACCGAGATTACAAAATTTTAAACTGAATGTAACTTTGACCTGTAGGATAATAAGCACCAAACTTATTATACTTTTACCTTCATCATGCACAAGTTTTAATCTACTTACATGGGAAAAAAGTAGCTTTTCCACCTTGAGTTAAATAGGCTGATTTAGCAACAGAACGGGAACGTCAGTTGATGACGGCGCACACAAATCAAACAACTGGCTTGACCAATGGTTGAGCACCAAATGGGGCACCGGAAGTCGACTTAAGTCCTTTCCGCACACTTTCCTGTCATCAAATGACGTTCCCGTTCTCTTGCTAAATCAGCCTAATATTGAATTCCCAAAACTTTAAAGTTGTGTCTGAGTCATTAAAATGTATATTGGCATAATGTTCTGTTGTTGGTCATGACTTTTATTACCTTTGGTGGCTCCTAAAGGAGCCTTTTTTGTTGGTTATCCAACTATATGAATCAATCATCATCTTCAAATCCATGGTAATTTTGACTCTCTTCTGGAAACTTTTTTCTAATCATCTTGTACGCACAGCATGGCAGAGGATATCGCCGGGAACTGCCAGTAAAATCCCATAGCAGCCTGGTAAATTGGCGGTATGCCACTGACCTCAAAAACCTTTCAAAACAACAAGTTTGGAAGTTACTTCTAGGAAAGTATAACTAGTAATAACCAAAGGTAATGGAGTGTGGGCAACAACAATCAAAGGTCAAAAAAATTTAACTCCATCACTGTGCTGGGTGTACTTTGCATAAGCTTCACATGAGAGATAGTAAAAACACGTGTGATCAGATTACAGAGTGATAACAGAGTGATAGAATGTTCAAGCGCATGTGATCAAATTGAGTTCTGTGCATTTCATTCAATCTTACTGGAAGTCCAAAGAAACGGTGGCAACCGACATGCGATGCATGCGTAATAACAACCTGGAGATTAGGATAGCGGTTTCCCCTGCAATTATTTCCATTTTGCCACAAGACACTTCTAGTAACAATAACAAATACAGACCCACATAAAATTTTTGGGGGGGGGGGGGCTAACTATTTATGAGGCTAATTCACTATGAGCAAATATGAAGTGAACTCAATTGACGGTTGAACTAGTTGGGTGTTGACTCACTACTAGGGTGAAATCACTGGGTTCAGTATAAATAGAAGGAAAAATCAAACACCAGCTAAATAAGCAAACAGTAGAATCACAAAAGGTGAATTTTAAAACATCACAATGCTTTTGTATTCAAATGTTCAAGACTTTATTTTCCCAAGAGAACGTGAGAAGTGGTAGTAGCTAGGAAACTTACTCTGACTGTGATTTTCGTCCTTGGTCATACAATACTCGGTACGACTTTCCAGATTTTGTTTTCAGTCCCAATGCTGCTACTTCTAAAACGTGCTGATTGAGGCAGACATCCTGGAACCCAGGATGGAGAGTAATACACTGACTGGTATCGCCAAACCTTTCCATAACTTCACCACAGCGGTCGATTTCCCGGCAGCACTGGCACTCTTCTGGTTTAGTGGTGAAGTCAACTGAGCAATTCGAGCAGAAGCACCTGCAGTCCCAAAAGTACAGAAACAATAGTGTTCGAATATAAACTGGAATAAAAAATGAAATAGATTACGAATAATATAATTAATCGGAATAAAGATTCGAAAAGCCATTAAAAAAACCTCGGCGATAACAAACTAGGACTCAGTTTGCATGGTAACAGAGGCGATCGGCGGCGTCAACAAAAACTAATAAGTGCAAACAGAGGCTTTCATGTTTACTTTGTAATAAAGCACGACCAAACAAAAGTAAAAAAAACCAGATAATTGCTCAGAAACTTAAACAAAAACAGTTCAATGGTCATACCATGTATTAACATCCACTTCACGGTCAAATCTTGCCTGATAGCGGAGTTCCTCTTCAAGTTCTTCAGACATCCTTGCATCTTGCTCGGCTGCTTCCTCCTCTGTTGCCAGCGGCTCTAAATCTTCTCCGTAAGGAACGAAGTTAGACAAATCTTCTTCCATGTTATAAACTTCTTCTGTGTCGCTTCCAGAAGAACTGGAAGAAGACGATTCGGATTGAGACGACATTATATTGACGGATCGATCTAAACTCACAGACTCTTCCCAATGCAAATCTTTTGGTTGATGTTTCTACGTCACAGTGCATAACTCACGTGGTCAAACGCAACACCGCTTTGCGGAGATCTCGCGGGCTATTGTTTTCCGAACTGTGTAATGGCGGACGGTATTTACGCACTTTTTGGAAGGAAATTTCCAGCCCGCGGACGCAAGTAAGGTTCAAATTTTTCGCTATTTGTCTAATTTTGAACTTATAGAAAAGATTTATGGGAAAAAAACTCGGAAACAAAGACAAAAATTTTCGTCGTAGTAGCACTTTAAATGTTATTGAGAGTAAAAAATGCCTAAAAATACAGTCCTAGTTTCTATGGATGTTACTAGTCTTTACGCCAACACACCACACGAAGAGGGCGTAACCACCGTATGCCACGTGTACGAAAATGTTTAAAGAAATGCTCTATCTTATTTTTTATATTAACAGAAAACTCTTTCAAATTGTGTGGTAGCAACTACCTACAGACCCATGGAACAGCCATGGGAACAAAGATGGCCGTTGCTTTTGCAAACATCTTCATGGTCAGATTAGAAAACCAGCGCTGTAACCAACTGGTTTTTTGGAAAAGGTATTTTGTTCTCGATTTGAACACTTGCTGTTTTATTGAGGGTTACCACAATGTGCCGCTCTGAAGAGCTCCTAGCTTATCAAAGACGCATCCGACCTAAACAGAAAAAAACCTTTCAATCTTGACAAAACTGTCGACAAGGGATTGAAAACCAAACACAGCTAGACGTAAGCATGTTGAGTTAAAAAATAAATTAATTAATTAAAAATAGCAACAACTTTATAGACATTCTGAATAATTTTCTTCTGCAACATTAACCCGTGAAAGCCCCCTAGACTCATTCAAGGTGGAGTTTGTTTGTTCGCAAAAAATTAGGAAAATTCATTACAAATAAAGAGGTCGTCTATTTTTTGGTACTTAGTACTTAGGAAAAGAGAGGAAAAACACATGAAAAAATCTTTATTTATGCATGGGCATGTGTAATTAATAAAGATTTTATTCATAGCGGCTCAATAGGACTTATATAGGGCAAGCACACGCACTATGTTGTAATTAGCAGTTAATAAACAAGTCCAAGTAGTATATAAAGAATTATTGTAAATGTAAATGTAAATGTAAATACCGCGATTGAGAGGACAAACATACATGTCCTCTTTACATTATTAGAAACTTAATCATTGGATAATGCAATTCTAGCGTTTTGATTGGCTTAGCAATCATGTAATATGAGCCATTATACCATGTTCTCCATATATGGTCAATGTACAATATATGGTCAATGGTTTTGGTTGCTTGCCAATTACATGGGCAAACCGGTAGGTCCACGGTTTAGGCAAATGGTGCACAAAACTCAGGACTGGTAAATTTCGTTCAGGAATCGCGTTTACCATTTGTACGAATCAGTTCCATTTACTGGAAAACGACCTTGAACACAAATTTCCGCTTGGAATATTGCGTCTGGAAAAACAGGACTACCCTTTCAGCTGTTCCGTTGTTCCCGGAAATTTTCCGATGGACAGACCAAAAAAGTCATGTTCCTTTTTGGATAGATGGATAGATAGATAGTTTAAGGACGGTGCCCACTAATGGGAAGTATTTTTTCCCAGATATTGACTATGTGAGACAAGTAGATCACATCAGGGGCTATTGAAATCCAAAATAGAAAACTGGGGGTAACCATGCATTTTTCAGAGGTAACTGTACTTCAATATGGAGAAAAACGCTGAATAGGAGTTTTTTTAGAAAAATGATAAAGTTATGTTTTCCAAAAATTTCAGAGTGTACACGTGAACTGGCACAAATGCAATGATAACTGTAAAAAGGTTTCAAAATAAGCAACAAATGATAACATAACAACTGCTCTTTATACGTGTTTTTTTGAAATATCAGCACAACTGGGAAGGTATCAGCAGTTACCCCTCTCTATGCGTTTGCCTCAAAAATAGTGTAAGCGACATTTTCCCCGAACCAAAAATTGATCAGTTGCTTAGTAGGCT